GAGTGGAGGTGAGCAGGATCGTGTCGCAGGTGCCAGATGGCCAATCCTTGACCACCTCTGCGAGCCAATCGACCTGCTCATAATCTGGCTGATGCCGTGATCTCATCCCGCCCCAGAATCCAACCCACCATGAAAGCAAACGAGCTGGTGCCAGCCACAACCGCCGCGTCCCCAGCCAGTTCGCCCCCGCCCCGGCGTCCGAGCGCCAGCGGTGCCGCCTGCCGCGCCACCGCGGCGCCCCTCGCGGCCAACCCGCCGCCGCCGCCGCCGCCGCCGCCGCCGCCGCGCCGCGCCGCCAGCGACTCGAGCATGCCGGCAACATAAGGGTTGAGGGTGCGTAGGTGCAGCAGCGGGTGGCGCGACGCCGCGGCGGCCGCGCTGGCGGCGTGCGCAAGGGCAACCAGGCCGGCGGCGGGCTCGGCGTGGCCGTGCCAGCTCTTGCTGGCTAGCAGGGAGAGGGGCTGGGCGGCGGGGGTGCCGCCGCCGACGAGCAGCGTCTCTGCCGCCGCGTTGACCTCAACGGGGTCCCCCAGGGCAGTGCCTGCGATGTGGGTTGGGTGGCCGAGGCGAAATCAGGGTGGGGTGTGTGAAAGGATTGTGGGTGTGTATTCCTGCTTTTGCATGGTCATGTAATAACCAACCACCCGACCAACTCATTAATCAAGTGAACAAATTCAAAGATCCAGCACAAGCTTCATCAGTCCTCAGAGCGTTTGCACATCCTACCGAATTTCCCTCTGTTTTGGCGGCAAAGGCGATTTCATATCGGCCACACAGAAATCGTGACAGCCACCTTCCGACCACCTGAGTCTACACACCCCAGCCCACCTGTGCCGTGCATAGACAGCAGGTGCACGTCCCCGGCCGCCACCCCCGCCGCCGCCAGGGCCTGGCGGATCACCTCCTGCTGCGCCGGCCCGTTGGGCGCCGTGAGGCCGCTGCTGCGGCCGTCCTGGTTGACAGCGCTGCCCAGCAGAATGGCCGCCAGCGGGGGCGGCCGCGGCGCTGCCGAAGTTGACCCCACCGCCTGTGCTAGTGCCGGTGACGCGACCTGGAAGGGGCGCAGCAGCAGGGCGTGCACAGCTTCCCCCCGGACATAGCCGTCGGCGTCTGCGTCCAGGACCTTGCAGCGGCCGGACGTTGACAGCATGCCTGGTGGATTGGGGTGAGGGCAGGGCCGCGTTGGTTGAGGTGCTCTGGTGGTTGAGCATTTGGGACCTCAGAGTGAGTACAGCCTGCAAACAGGCTAGACGCGTCCCATGTACCATGAGAATGGGACGAAGGCTCCAACAAACGCCAGGCAATATCACCAACACACAGCATGCAGCATGCACAACGTATGACCCCGCCCGACGGTGCGTGCAGCCCTTTCGAGCGCTGTGCGTTTCTGCACAATCTCCTGAGCGGCCGGCGGAAACCGACGCAAGCCAGCGTGCGCGCGCGCCATCGGCGCTTTCTCACCTGCAGCATACACGTAAGAGCTGCTGGTGGGCGCTGCCTGCACGTGGACACCGGCCACCAGCGCACCCTCCAGCCCGCCGCCCCAACTTTCGCTCCCGCCACCACCGCCGCCGCCGCTGCTCTCCAGCAGTGCCCGCCGCGCCAGGTGCAGCGCGACAAGGGAAGCTGAACAGGCGGTGTCGACGGAGATCGCGGGCCCTTGCAGGTTGAACGCGAACGCGAGGCGCCCCGACGCGACAGACGGCGCATTGGCAGTCGCGTGGAACGCGCCGGGCGCGCCGGCTGAGGTGGCGGCCTTCACAAGGCTTGCGTAGTCAGATGACGCGATTCCGACATAAACCCCCAGGGCGAATGACGACGCGGGCAACGAGCTGGCGTTGGCGGCCAGGGGCGGCGGCGCGAGGAGCTCTGCCGCGGCCGCGAGCAGCAGGCGCTGCTGCGGGTCCATGAGTGCCGCCTCGGGGGCGCTGACGCCAAAGGCGGTCGCGTCAAAGACCTCGACGCCGCGCATGAAGGCGCCAAACCTGCGGGCGCAAGGCGGCAGGAGCGGGAGAGGCAGGAATGCATGAATCATGGCGTGCACGCCTGGTTGTCATGTTCTGCTGCCAAGACTAGCAGCAGTATTGATAACACAAGTGTTCTTCATCTGTATGTTAATCTAGCTCGCTTGGATTCAATGCTAGCATCCATCACCACGATTCACGCATTAAGCAATTGTCCACCTGGCAGCCAGCGCCGACGAGGGCGGCCGCTCCACATCCCATCGCTCCATAGGTACGACTCCCACAGGGTCCCACACCCGAGCCGCCGCCGCCAGCGGCGCCGCCTCGGGCGCTGCGGACCCCGCCGCGCAGCGGCCGGCAGCGGCGGCAATCGCAATCACGCGCGCCTCTGGCGCCGCCGTCAGGGGGCCCAGCGTGCGGGCGAGGGGCGCGGCAGCAAGCTGCCGCTGCTGCTGTTGCTCCTGCATCGGCAGGCTGGCGAGCAGCTGCGATTTGATGGCGGCTGTCATTGCGGCCGGCGTGGGGGCGTCAAAAATGAGCGTCTGGGGCAGCGTGGCGCCCAGGGAGTCCTGCAGGAGGTTGCGCAGCTCCACCGCGCCCAGTGAGTCCAGGCCCGCCGCCATCAGCGGCTCGTCGGGCGCCACCTGTGTGGAGTTGTGGGTTGGTTGAATAGGGTGGACGACGAACATTGTGGTGAAGGTGCACTTCAACCCCATCCTTCAGCGCCGCTCTGCAAGTGGCCGTGCTCCACATCGTAGTGGGGATATCGGTCCTCAAACACATCATCACCACCACCTCAAATGCCAACAGCTGCAAGGGTCGCATGACAGGATGTTTGCAGGGTTCAAGTCTGCTTCATTGACGTTGCATCATATATGATACCACACCGCCCACCCACCTGCCGCCCGAGAACAGTCGAGACTGCATCTGCCACGGCCTCCTCCACCTGGGCTGCGATGAGCGCCGCAGACTCTGCTGTGGCAGCCGCACTCGGCCGCTGCTGCTGACCTGGCCACTGAGCTGGCGGCGCGTCTGCGGCCGCCGTGGGTCCAGCGGCCACACGATCATGCATAGTGGAGAAGAAAGCCGCAGGCGGCTGCCGTGGAAGGCGCGCCAGGAACGTCCGCCACTGGATGGGGACGACGGCGAGGGCTGTTGGCGCCGCCACGCCGCTGCGCGTGCTGTGCGAGAGCACGGCGGCCTCCAACGCGGCCAGAGCCTGCAGCGGCTGCAGCATCCCAACCCCCAGGCGCGCGGCGCGCGCAGCCGTCTGTGGGTCGTTGGCCGCCATGCCAGCGCCCGCCCACGCGCCCCACTGCACGCTGAGCGCCGCGACGCCGCCGGCCTGCAGCGCCGTTGCGGCCGCGTCGAGCGCTGCGTTGGCTGCGGCGTAGTTGGCCTGGCCGGGGCTGCCCAGCAGGGACGCCACTGAACTGAAGAGCACCGTGGTGCCCAGCGGCTGCCTGTGCAGCGCGCGCATCAGCAGGCGGAGTCCCTGCGCCTTTGGCGCGACGGCGCGCCGCACCGAGGCCGCGGACAGGCCGCCCAGCAGCCCGTCTGCCAGCACGCCTGCTGCATGGAGCACGCCCAGGACCGGCAGCCGGCACACCGCGCCGGCCAGCGCGGCCGCCGCGCCTGCAAAGTCGGCCGCCGCCGCCGCGTCCCCCTTCGACGCGGTCAGCATTCCGGCCTGCCGTTGTTGCGCTGACGTGGCGGGGTTCATGATGAGGTCTGACAGTTCGGAGGGAAGCTGCCCGCTGCGGCTGATGATGTGGACGTGACTGACCCCGACAACCGTCAGCAGCCATCGTGCAACCTGGGCCCCCAAAAACCCGGCACCGCCTGTTATGATGTACGTGCCGCACTGCGGGAGGGCGGCCCCCGCGAGCGGCCTCACGGCTGGCGGCGTGCTGGGGACGGCCGCCCGCGCCAGGCGAGCCGCAAAGCGGGCGCCGCCGTGGGTGGTGGCGCCGTACAGAGACGCCGCGGCGTCGGGTGCAATTTCGGCGGTCCGGCCCAGCGAGAAGATGGTGCCCCTGCTGCCGCCGTTGCTGCTGTCGAGAGCAGATAGCCGCCAGTCCGGCTGCTCCAACGCGGCGGCCCTGAGCGCGGCCCAGGCCGCGGCGCCTCCAGCATCAGAAGACACGTAGCCGCTGGGCGCGGCTGCCGCGACGCCTGTCGACGCACCCGTGGTGGCGAGGCGCAGGGACGGACGGCCGTGGGCGGAGCAGGCCTGCTGCAGCGCCGCGATCGCGTCGAGCGCCTGGCTGACGTCAGCGGCGGCCATGCGCCGTGCTGCCAGGGCCAGCGAAGACGGCTGTGCCTTATGCTGCTGCTGCTGCTGCTGCAGCTGATGTTGCTCTTGCTGCACCTCAACCGCCTCCCATACCACTGTATATATGATTTCCTGATCATCCGTCCCCTGCTGCACCGAATGCGCGGCAGCAGCGGCTGCGGCCGCGGGGGCCGCGCCGCCAGTAGCCTCGAGCGCTGCGGCCAGAGGGCGGTATGCGATGCCGCGTGCCCGCACCCCTGCGCCGGCGGCCTCTTGCCAGGAAGCTCCGACACGCGCCCCTTCGGCTTCTGTTCCGACCCCAGCATGCGCAGGCAGCGGGGCCTCCAGAGTCCGCAGCACGTCTGCTGACGCCGCGACCGGTGGCGTGGCGGTCAGGAGTTCTGAGAGCGGCCTGTATGCGACACCTCTGACCTGCCCGCCAAACGCCCCAGTGGCCGACGCTGTGAGCCAGAAGCTGCTGCGCCGGACTGGCGGCTGCGGCTGCACTGGAAGCCGGCCGGGCAGCTGCCCAGCAGCTTCTGGGGCGTCTGGGTCCACCAAATCGAGGCCGTCCTCCGCGTCTTGGCCGCGAGGCGCCAGGATGCACCCCTCGATCGAGCTCGGCAGGCCGGTCGCATCGCCGGTCAGCAGCGGAAGCGCAAGGGACGCCTCCAGCTGGCAGGCCGCCAAGACGGCCGGCTCTACGGCGCCCGCGGCGGCCGCCGCGCCTGCGCGTCGCGCGACCTGGGCCTTTGTCGGCCGTGAGGGCAGCAGGCCGTGCGCATTGAGGCTGCGCAGCAGCAGCACTTCCAGCCAGGCAGCAGCTGG